AGAGAGAGAGAGAGAGAGAGAGAGAGAGAGAGAGGGGAGAGAGAGAGAGGATAGAGAGAGAGAGAGAGAGAGAGAGGGGAGATTTCATCATTTTCATCATCTACACAATCAATCAGTAGTCTAACTCCATCAGTTTATTGGTTGTGCACGATTGTGTGTACCTTCTTGTAAAAAATATAATATTCTTGGCTGTGCGCGATTATGTTTACGTTCTTGTATAAAAGATAACTTTCTTGCCTGCGTGTGCGTTTGCAGGCAGTGTGCGAGGTACTGAACAGGTCGATGCACACGTTACTGGACGCCGCTGCTCCCATAGTAGGAGAGATCACAGACCTGGTGATCCACACCTACTGCACGGTGTCTCACAGCTCTCTCGTGGAACTTGCGAAGCAGGTGAATCTCATGTTTGCTGATACACGATGACGTGTCAGTAGTGTGATGGTAGATAGTAGATCTACTGCAGTCAAATCCATGTTAGCGGTCTAGTGACACTAGTCTAGTTAGAAAGGACACTTGGAATTTCACTGAGTTGCAGTTATATTTGGGGTTGTGATTGAATGCGACGCGACGCGACACGTTGCAACTCACTGCGACTGAGTGCTTAGGTCGACGGCGACGCGACTGACAGCGACTGGCAGGCAGTCGCAGAATGCGCTTATGTCGAAGCGACGATCGCCTATAGATCGCGCAACTAAATGAGTTTACATGACTTGTTGCTGTGTGCATGTTGTGTACATGACTGTATGCACTGATTGTTTTATTCGCATGCATTGGTCATTATGCATACGAATCTCGTCGCAGCGATCGCAAGGTAGCTTATGTCGGGTAGTAACCATGAAAAACAATGCTTGCGACCAGTAGAACTAGTCGCGTCGCGTCGCAAAAGTAGAACATGTGCGACTCGCTGCGACTGACAATTTTCCAGTCGCTGAGCAAGGCAATCACGTCGCGTTGCAAAGCCGACCCAAGCCCGGCTTTATACAGTGGAAACCAGTATGTGTGTGTGTTTGTGCGTGTGCGTGTGCGTGCGTGTGTGTGTATATAAATGTGTTTATTACTACACGAGTTGTTGCCCCAAAACTAATCGAATTCTTCTTTCAATAGGTTCTGATGCTGTTCGCTGGTAGTGAAAGCCACAAGCCAACAATGATGTCATTGTTCTCGAAGATGACGGAACGTACGCTGACGATCATGGAGAGAGAACCAGAACAGCACACTGACATCATGGAAGCCTTCATGATTCTACTCGCTCAGGTACGAGACGTATTCAGCCAATCAAATTTGATAACAGTCTCTCGCTCTCACTCCGGTAACGCGTCCTCCCTCGTCTCTCGCTCTCACTCCGGTAACGCGTCCTCCCTCGTCTCTCGTTCGTGACTGCGCCGCTCGATCGTCTGTCGCTCGCACATCCCTAACGCATCCTCTCTCATCTCTCTCGCTCGTCGCAGTGCTGGAGCTGCTGTACCAGGCGCTGGTGCAGCCCGGCTGCCCGCAGGAGGTGACGCAGGAGGCGCTGCGCTGCTGCTCCAGCTGGGTGCAGTTTGGCGTGCCGCTGCTGGAGGCTGAGTCGCTCGTGCGCATCGTCATCCAGGCGCTGCACGACAAGCAGCTGTTTGAGGTCGCCGCTGACGCGCTCGTCAACGTGTTCCTGCACCCGGACTCACACAGGTGACGGCTTCGTAAGGATGGATTTCAATTTATATATCAGGATAGCAACAGGAGTCTATCAATATATATATATATATTGATAGACTCCTGATAGTAAAGCTGGGAGAGAAGGAGGATATGTAGTAATGGTGCAGAATGTATATAATGAGAGTTATATACAACGTGTTCGTGCACCCGGACTCACACAGGTGACCGCATTCGTAAGGATGGATTTTTTTTATCAGGATAGGGGAGCTATAGGTAGGAAAGCTGGGAGAGGTGGAGGGAGAAAGGCTATGTAGTAATAGTGTAGAATGCTTAGACCTGCGTGACAGTAATAAATGTGTGGAATTTGCAGATTTCCGGCATGTATAATGAGATTGCTACCATATATCATGAGCACCGATGAGTTGCTCAATAGAGCTATTCAGGAGCATGATGAGGTGAGCTTCGTTTCATAGCACGCGTTATGTGTTCTGTGTTCCGTCAACTATACTGTTCATACAATAGTACTGGGGTCATAGTAAATAAAATGTATATTATACACACACATGCATTATATATATATATATATATATGATTTTGTCAAATATAGCAGTAACACCTTTCATGTAGCATTTTATTTATTTTAATTTGACTTGCCATCTACAATTGTCTCGTATATTTGAAGCACAAGATAATGAAATAAATAAGAGCAACATATATGTAGGTAAAAAGGTCAGCGGTTTAAATGATGTGTTTTTAGAGTTTGCATCATTTTTCTCGACAGGAAACCTGCACAGGTCTGTTCAAGTTGCTTGTGGCTATTGGAGAGAACCATTCTAAACTATTGGTTGAGAATCTTTTGCTGGAGTCACCGAACAAGATAAATGTCACAAAGCTACTGAGTATGATTCTTGTAAGTACCCTAAGCTAAACGTTCATTGCATTAATACTAAATACCCATGCAAGGGTGAAGGTTAAGAGGGTATGAATTATCGCACATGTCAATAATACCATGAACTTACCTAGATTGAAATTAGATTTCAATATCAATCGGTTATGCTATCTCATATGAGAAGGTTTGAACACTCTTAGAATATCTTGCCTCTACAAGCCCATTAATTGTTACAGTAACAATGTACATTGGTTGAACATTATTAAAATATAATTTAAATGTCAATAAAAATTTGTTGTAATTTATAATAGTACCAACTTCTGATGCTAATTCTAGATTGTCACTATGTTTCAGCAATGCAGCAGTATGCCAGGTTATTTTGCAGTGGATGAAAATTGTAGTGACCTTCCATTTGGTTTCTGGTATATACTTCAGGTAAGAAGATTCATACAGATATATCGACTGTAAAGTGAGATAATCTTTTGAGTTTTCGATATTAAAGAGTAATACATTCAAGTGAGATTTCATATAATCAAATTTTTTCAAATGGCCTATTTAATGCGATTAAGCCCAAAACAATCGCAAATCCACCTCCTGCCACACCATGCACGTTGATTGGGAGCCGTGCCCCTATCTCTGTCATTCCTCAAGCGAGTCACAAAATTTGACGTATTTGCTCATAACTACGACCCTGGCCTCGGCTGTCTCGCGTGCTTTCAGGATGACGTCATCGCCGCTGAACCGGAGCACTTCCAAGTTTACACGGAGATACTGCAGCCAGTGTTTGCCACGCTCGTCGACATCTTCCTGCTGAAGGTTCAGTTCCCTGATGACGAGCAGTATGAGAGCTGGGGCCGAGGTACGAACATAACGATCGAGAGTACATCGTGGTATTCGCGGGGACATTTACCTAACTCTTTGGTCACCACAGTCAAACCAGTGCTAGTGGACCCTCTGTAGATCAGTCACCTAGTGGACCCTCTGTAGATCAGTCACCTCAGGTATTTGGTAACAAGGTATAAGGTATAAGGTAACAAGTGACTACAAATCATGGTAGATTGATGCAAATTTATACTTTTTTTATACTTTTTTTTGGACAATTTTGATACTTTTTTCTGGACAGATTTGATACTTTTTTGTAATATCCTGAGTGGCAGCACTGCACCTGTCTATAGCGGAAAATGTAAAAAAAAAAGACGTTTCTCTCAAGTATATTGTATAACTGTATCATTTTGTTAGTGCTGTATAAGCTGAGATAGACTCTTCGCTATAAATATTTTGCATTGCAGATGAGAAGGAGCAGTTTCGCTGCTACAGGCAGGATGTGTCGGACACGATCATGTATTCGTATAACATACTACGAGAGCCTCTGCTGCAGCATCTCTGTTCGACTCTAGCGCACATTCTCGCAGACCCCAACCAGCACAACAGGTGGCAGGTACAGACTGTTCTATTCACTGAATAAGAGCATTACGCGTGTCAACTGTGCATGCTCGGTAACGGTGTTGTGCAGTGAGGACATAGCAGACAGCTCCATACCGAAAGCCTGCCACAGTGTAATAGCACAGGCAGCCAGCTGTTTATTTTGGAAAATAACCTGTTTTTACCGCTCCCTTAAAATTGAAACCTGTCAAGTGGATGTAGTCGCATTGTTGGATTTGTAAACGTTTGTGGAAGCTTGGATGCTAGCGAAGCCACTGTTGTGAAGCTGCATTAGCAATTATTACAATTGTTTAGCAGACTGTTTTGCAGTCAAAATATCTCACGATGCATAACGCATTCAAGATGCAAAATTGGCCTATGCTACCCATATGCACGTATTTAGAACTGCCTTATGGTGGTGAATCGTCATTTCTTGCTCAGGCTCAGGTTAGACAATGAGGTTTGCGGTATGTAATTTTATGGAAGGAAATTCATAAATAGATATGTTTCTTAAACGTGGGCTAACATTACTGGATGCAGCAGATCCTGCCACACACTAGCTGGTGCCACTGTTGTGATGAATTCCTGTAACAACAGTTTCCTTTACTAAACAACAATTCGACTAACATAACCACCATATGATTCCATCGAAAGTAATCCCTCCTAGGCGGTCCCAAAACTAACTAAAAAATAGACAGACCTAAAAAATAGCAACTAGCATACTATTTCACGTGCCAGCAGTCACACATTACATGCATGAATACCTTTCATTTCTTTCAGTCTATAGAGGCAGTCCTGCTGGCTGTGGAGGCAATAGCTGACAGTGTGGAGCTGTCAGATAAAGAGTACCTCACACAGGTATTTACTTTATTGCCACAAATACCGTTCACCAATCTGAAGCTGATAGCCACCGCTCTGAACGTCATAGGTACGTGGAATTATTAGTTGAGAGCATAAATATGTCAATTAGATGATTAAAATTTAATTATTAATCGAATGTAAAAATAGACATTTTTTGACAGTTTTAACAGTAAGAGTTAAAGGAGTAAAAGTTTAAAAGAGTTCTTTTTAGTTTAAATAAGAATATGTACCTTTTAATTTAGAGGTATAAATGATTATAATGAATATATGTTTGTTTTACTATATGTTCGCAGAGGTAACTCATGTAACTTAAAAAGTTCAGTGCATCTTTTATCGACCAATTCGCCCATTGTTACGACTTTGTGTTGCGTATCCAATCAACCACATGTTAGTAGTCATCTTTGTAGAATGTACACCTGTCTATGAGGCACACTTGGTATTTCTATCAAGTGGCAGTGATACAGTGAAACCAACTGTATGGAAAAGGCACCCATCTACAAACAAAGCTACTCGTCTCAATTTAAAGTGAGTGAACAACCAAACGTGCCGTAAACAGGAACAATGTTATTGCATGCAGGTGCGTATGCGGTGTGGATCAACAACCATTCGGAGGTGTTGACAGGAGTCATCCCTCTGCTCCTGCAGGGAGTCACCAATCCGGACGTGGCGCCGTCGGCAACGATGGCACTCAAAGACATCGCACGCGATTGCCAGCCGCTGATGAAGCCGTTCTCTCAGCACATCCTCAACTCATGCCAGGTAGCGCCTGATGCGACGCGCAGTGCGCTGTCATGAGACGTCCTTCCTCATAGTTGATTGTCATTGCATGTCACCTATCCGTCTGACTGGTAGAGTGACTGGCAGCTCTAACCTGCCAGCGTCGCGATAGGATGTCCTAAAAACGATGCTTAATAACGATGGATCGCAAAGTCGATATTTTGGTGAACAGCATATATGTCACACGTAATGTGGAGCATGCGATATCGTAACTGGAATGATATCATTTGCAAAATGTATGTCTCTTTCTCTCTTTTCACCTCTCCCTCCTTCCCACTCCCTTTCTTGCTCTTTTCCTTTCTCTCTTTCTCTCGCTCTCTGTCTCGCTCTCTTTTCCCCTCCCCTCTCTTCCTCTCTCTCTCTCTCTCTCTTCGCTCTCTCTTTTTTCCTCCCTCCCTCTCCTCCTCTCTCTCTCTCTTCGCTCTCCTTTTTCCCCTTTCTCCCCCTCTCTTCGCTCTCTCTCGATCACGCGATTATCTGGTTTCGATCTCAGGAAGCTCTGCTGAGTTTGTCGCTGAAGCCACGGGAGCAAGTACGCATCATGGTCTGCATCGGGCGCGTGTTAGCCGTTCTGCCATTCGACGAAATCATGGCCTATCTCAACCTGATACTGACACCACACATCCAGCAGCTGCAGGTGCTGCTGCAGGAACAGGCAAGTGAACAGATTTGAGCCATATACATGGGTGTTAACTGTCCGTCTGTAAACGGATTTTCTTTTTGAAAAAAAGAATTGAAGTTTTGAATTTTTACAATTTAAAAAAAAGTGAATTGCATCTAATGATCTTAACTATGTATGCTTGTTACATATAATTGTATAATAGTGTTTTATCCAAGTTTTTATGTTGCAAATTAACTAGATGTAGTATTTTCTAAATTTCTACCGATACCTGATAAGATAAATAATCTTATCAGGAAATATCACCAAATGTGTTTTATATTGCACAGAATCCATAGCCACCCCCTATTGGACCCATTTTTTTCAGTCTTCACTTTTTCTTTTGTTAACACCCATGCATGTGTATTTGTCTATGCTTTGGGCAAATATGCCTGCAAAGTTTGCTTGCTAGACAACTCACAATGCAGATTGCAGTAAAGCAGGGACTGCGATCTTAAACATCAACGATTGTCAGCCATTGAAGCAGCGAGCCTGCTAATGAAACACTCATGGTGCTTCACACTTTTTTTCGAAAATTCACAAGTGGATTGCCAAGTGGTGCGCACATTTTACAGCACATCGTAGCGACAACAAGCACTGCAAAGCTTTAACAGCTTACTATAGCCTCCTAAGTGGCGTGTACCTGCATGATAAAACTCCCTCCCTCTCTCTTTCTCTCTCTCTCTCTCTCTCTCTCTCTACGCTCGCACGGACGCACGGACGGACGGGACGTCTATGCGACTTCTACAAGCTCTGCATCTGACTATGTATGATGAGCTAAAAAACAATGCTTGCGACGTGGAACTAGTCGCGTCGCCGTCGCAAAAAGTTAGTTAAATGTGCCGATCGGCCTGCGACTGATGATTGTTCCAGTCCGTCTGAGTCAAGGGCAGTCGGCGTTGGCAAGGCCGACAAGCCGCGCTTTATACAGTGAAAACAGTTATGTGTTGTGTTTGTGAGTGTGCGTTGTGCGTGGGCGTGTGTGCTGTATATATGATGCTGTTTTATTACTACACGAGTTATTGCCCCCAATCTAATCGAATTCTTCTCTTCAACTTAGGTTCTGATGCCTGTTCGCTGGTAGTGAAAGCCACAAGCCAACCAATGATTGTCATTTCGTTCTCGTGAATGAATGACGGAACGTACGCTGACGATCATGGAAAGAGACGAACCAGAACAAGGCCGCCCCCAAACACTGACATCAGAAGGCCTTCATGATTCTACTCGCTCAGGTACAGAGGGACGTATTCAGCCAATCAAATTTGATAACATTATTAATGTCGAGATGAATGTAACGTGCCCATGGCTAACCTACTGGGGATACCCTGCTCGCCATTGTCACAATACCTTGTAGTCTGTGTATCCCTATTTGTACACATAAAAAGTGTTGCTAGAATGCGAGTAGCTTGATAACGCCCTTCTTTGAAGGAAGTTCCTTGATGTGATAACCCAACTTTCCATTTCACGCGCTAAAATTTTGAATTAATCACTTCTGATTAAACCAAAGGCAACACTCTCTGTAAAAAATCATAAATCAACACATAAATCATTATTATCATATATATATATATATTATATATATATTTATATAT